ATACGAGCCTGAGGCTGGCCAGGAGCCGCCTGGGCTTTGGGACAAGGGTTTGGGCAGATGGCTTGGCTCTACCCTTGTGGTGTGTGCACCAGGGTGGTGGTGCTGGATATTTGCTGCCCCCAGGGACGCAGACACTTCTGCCTGGGGGAAGCCCCCTGCCAAGGGGAGTGGGGTGGGCTGCAGGCTGAGCCAAGACCAGCTGAGCTCACAGAGGGCTCTGCTATCAGGTGGTGCTGCTTGGGCTTGGATGAGACCATGGAGAAAGGCACCCCGAGATGTGCTGCTCAGACATGAGTCCTTGGCACATGGTTTGCTCACTGGTGAGGCACGAGGCTGTGAGCACCAGACTTAATTTTTACTTACACACTAATTTCTAGCATCTTTCAGAAATTCACAGGCTTCAGACTACAAACTCAGGGAGATGATGGCCACAAGAGCAATGCAGGGCATGCGTCCTATGCCCTGTGCTGGAGGACCTGGGGCTGGTGGATGGCTCAAGCTCTGCAAGCAGTGTGCTATGGCCCAACCATTGGCCAGCCAGCGTCCCCACTGGAGCCGTGCCCGTGGCCACACAGAGAACCCACTGATGGAGGAGAGTGGTCCTGGCAACCCACCACCTCTACCCCATCCATCCCTTCACCCACCACAGATGGACACTGCGGTGCCACCACGCTGCTGAGCAGGGATCTGCAACCCACAGCTAACTCAGGACAGGGGCAGCTTGCCAGCTCTGTGGTAAAACCTCCCAGGGGTTCTGTGAGGTCCCCACGTGGGACAGGGGAGGGCTCTTCAGGGGCCCACTTGGTCCCCTGGGTGTGCAGAAGGTCCTGCAGACAGAAACCGTCTCAGTCCATCAGGTAAGCGGCAGCAGAAGAGCAGAGAGACCACTGAAGGGAGGCGCCAAGAGGGGCAGTGAAAGTTCAGTCAATTATAAGAAAATTTACGTTTATAAAGGGACATTTCACAGGTCCTTCTGGCATGCCAAGCCCTGTGTGTGTCTTCTAAGTTTCTGCCTCCCGTGACCCACAGCATTTCTCCAGCTGTCTGCCAGGCTCGGAGACCTCTGTAAAGAGACCCCTGGAGACCCGTGGCTGCTGGACACCAGTGGAGACGTTGGTATCCCTGGGTGGTCCATGGTGTCCTCACCACCCCCCCAGAGGCACAGCCACCTCCCCCAGCAGCCTGAGATGCAGCCACCTCCTCTGGCAGCTCACCAAGAGCTTCTTTGAACCCACTGCCAACACGAACGTTTCATTGATTTATTAATGAAGGGTGCTCAGAAACACGTTTGGGAGCTCTATGGAATAGCCTTTAGCTTTTGATGATTACTCATGTTTTACATCAGACTGATGTTTTCTAGATGCATTTCAATCAATACAATAGCTTTTTTAGCACGCATTACTGCTTGCCTTTGGCTAACCAACCATCACATTTCTTTTCAAGTGCCCATTTGCATCAAACTAACCCCAAAGATGCATCACATCTCCCTTGACTGTCACCTGAGCCTTGGCAAACACTCCCATTTAGGTTTCAAAATGCCCTGCACGCTCCAGCTTCATTTCTGAGTGCTTCAGACAAGACGCTGGATATGTTGTGTCACTCATGTCAGACAGGAATTCTCTGCACAACTTTCCTTGCCATGGCAGCATGAATATTCAGGCTTACTCTTTTCCCCAGCCTCATCGCTAGCCCACGCGGCAATCTGGGGGTTAAGGCAGCTCAAGGAGGTAAGCCCAAGAAGTAAGCTGACAGTAGGGGAAACATCTCGAGCGAGGATGTGCTGAGTTGCATGCTGCTGTGGTTTCACTGCTTTTGGTGCCCATTTCCAGGCCAGCTCAGATCTGGCCTCAGCAGCTGCTTTTGTCTCCTTCCCTCGGCACAGGCACGGTAACCTCTGGTCTTTTACCGCATCCAAGGTCTTCATTGCAAAGCAACTGTTATGAGATCTGAATGACCTTTAGAAATTTAGTAGCAATAAAGATATGTTTTTTGTTTTGGTTTGGTTTTTACTTTGGATCACTTCTTTGAATAACCACCAATCCTTAAGGTTTGCCGTTGTTGCAATATGTGGCAAACAGCTCAGCATAGTCGTCCTTTTGATCATCACTCAGCTTAGTCAAGCCAAACCCAACCATCCTTGCCACCGACCATATTTTTAATGCTCCAGCTGCACTTTTATTGTTTGGGTCATTCTGTCCAAACCTGCAATTCCACTTCTCGCTGGAAGGGCACGCAGCATTTTGCATGTTTTTAAGGACCGTTCTCTGTTGGTAGTAAAACGCACTGTTAAATATCACAGCTGTTGTCTTCATTTGCTCAGTGGTAAAATCAAAGCAGAAGTTCATGCAGTGGAGGGAGGGGGAAGGGTCCTTCTTCTGCTGATGTTGTGTGTTGTGGACCAAGTGTGTTGGGCATGCCCAGCACTTTCCTTCGTTAGCTGGTGACTTTGGTGAACTCCTCCAGCCACAGCTTTGGGGCCTGTTGGCATATATTTAAACCCAGCAGCCCCCAGTCAGAGTGACAACAGCCCAAGGACGGTGGCATTCCTGCTTCTCCCTCCCACCTCCACTACATCCATCCCCACCACGGACCCCGGCCATCCAAGCCCATGCAACCTGCTCCCACCGAGCTCCTGCCTTCTCTTTGGCTTCCAGAGAGGACGTGTTAACACCTTACACCTGTGTAATATGTGCAGTGGGTGTGCTGTAAGGTGACCTGTGGGGTAGGACTATGGTCAAACGCTGACCTAAGCTATGAGTGGTTTGAAAGAATATCCGAGAGTGTCTTGGCAACAGAAATACTCTTGCAGGGAGGCTGGACTGATGTGATGAGGCTGGATTAGGAGGCTGTTGGCTGACCCGTTGTGCAGTCAGTTCGTGTCATGTTTCCAGGCTTCTTCATCACCTTTGTCTCCAGCCTGTTGCTCTTCCCCAGGAATATATCAAAGGAGGAGAGCTTCACCTTTTCCTGCCTTTTGGAGCATCTTCCCCAGGAAGCAGGGGAGTGTCAGTACCTGGTCTCAGGGCTCATCCAGAACATCCCTCTGCCTTGGCACCAGAGCTAAGCTTATGACTAGAACCAGTTCTTTCTCAAGGTTTTCCATGCAAGCTTTCCTTCAGACCCCAAGACAAGAGGAGGGTGAATATTCCTGCCTCCCCAGACTGCTCTGAAACAAGAGCCAGTGCTCCTCTTTACTCCACAGAGCTCCCAAGCATTCCCTGTGTCAGTGTCTCCATGGGATGCACTGTAGCAGCCAGATGTTTGAGGCCCTTAACCCTTGGAGATGCTTCTGCTGTGCGGAGGTATTTGGGACCATGACCCTAACACAGGTGCATCCTTCTTCTCTGAGCCCAGTAAAGGTTTCTGGGGAGAGGAGTTCAAGCCGTGCTTCCACATGCATGGCACATGGACGATACAGAGGATATGTTAAATATATTTTTACTCCATGGAGAGGGTGAAAAGAAAGACCACGTCCATTACTGGTGGGCTCTCAGCTTGGGCAGAGCCCTCCTACCCGCAGCCCCAGACGTGCTGACCAGCAGTGCCATTCACCACTCACTCTGGTGAGCTTCCCCTGGTTTCTGCAGCGATGCAGCTGGTTCCTATGGGCCTTTTCTCCTGGAGTTGCTCCGGCCTCCACACGGGCCCTGGTTTCCTTTCCTCGGCCCGAGCTGCACAGTGCTCCGTGCTGAGACAGGAGTGGGGGGCTGAGGGCTGGCAGGGCTGGGAGTGGGAGCCCGGAGACCCCAGGGTGGAGTTAATGCATTTCTGGATGCAACAGGTGAGCAGCGTGGGGCTGCAGTTCCTCCAAGGGGAACGGGATGACCAAGAAGGTCTCTCCAAGCCCAGAGCACTTGTCGTTGCCCTGCACACCACCGAAACCACTGACGTCAGTGGGAATGAGCTGGCCCACAAATTCCAAAAGCTCCTGCAAATCCAAGTAGGGGCTCTGTTAGCAGGGAGGACCGGGATGGCTATCAGCCACAGGGTTAGAGCTGGGAATAATAAGTTGAGAAAAGGAAAATGTGAGGTGAGTAGCAGGAAGCATTTCCCAGAGTGAGATCTAACAGCTGTCGAAATAATCTCTCCATCACTTTAGAAACTTAAACTAAATAAAGCACAAGGCAATGCAGAGGGAAAAGCTCACGCTGGATGGTGAGGTACCTGGCAGTATTTCTCTCTCACTCCCACACTTTCCCTGGTACCACATTTTCACCACACTACCAACACGGTGTCCGAAGTGCCTGGCAGTCCCGGACAGCAGCAGCGTGGGGCTGGCATCGCCCTTCCAGCAGCTGCTGGCTCCACCAAGGAGACTGCACCCGGCCAAGGACCGGCCCCAGGGGGTGAGTCGTAGGGTGAAAGATGCTCAGGGGCTGAGCTGATCTGTGAGAGGTCTGCCCAGCCAGAACTGTCTTTATTTCTCTGCTCCCAGGTTAAGAGAGCTCCCCTCAGTACGTAGTGAAAAGCTGCCTCTTCCATCTCTGTCCCCTGGGAGTGCCAGCCCTCGTGCCTTCTGTCCCTAAATGCTCTCCCTGGAGGCAGGCACTGGGCTTGGGACCAAAGGAGTCAGAAACTGAGCCCAGCTTCTGCCCAGCCCCACCACCCTGCAAACCAGGGGTCTGGGCCCAAGGTCCCAATTCCAGCCCCAGTGTCAGCCCCTCCTGGCGCTGGTCCCAGGCTCTGTGCTGCTGCTGCTACCTGACGTTTTCCACTTCCAGTTCCTCTTGTAGATGAAGAGGAAAAAGCCATCTCCCTGGAGGCCAAGATGAGCACTGCTGAGCTTCCAGGCTCCCAGGAAGGTTAACACATGAATTATTTTACCTGCTGAACACGGAGCCTGAACCCATGTTTCCAGCTATGGTGAAGAATTCACTTTGGCATTGTTTTTTTTGTTGTTGTTGCTGAAAATAAGACTGAACTGAGGGCAGGATGTTGTCTCTAACTAGGCTGAGATGACTAATTATTAAACTCATTTTCTAAAGGTTACCGTATACAGAAAAGCAATTATACAGATTAAAACAAGTTCAGAAACCTGATTCATTCTGAAACTATGGTAAACCCAAATCTTGTACTATTTCTGATTTTTAATGACCTCAGGAACATTTTATTTAACTTAGATGTCAGAGACAGCTCCAAAATGAGAGACTAAATATATTTCATGCCCTTATTTTCCTAACACAGTGCAGTGCACGAATTCCCGGTGCCAATCCTGTCAGCAGATTCCGGCAGGCTGGATGCAGAGCAGTGCAGGGAGGGACAGTCCTGGCTAACCCCTGCGTGCCAGCACCGCTCCGGGACACCCAGCGGGGTCCTGCACCTTCCTGCAGTGCTGGCACAGCCCTGGGTGGGGTATGGGGCCGTGCTTTGGGATGGGGGGTGGAAAGCGAGGTGGGTCTGGTGGTGTTTCTTCTCAGCGGTGCTCCCTGCCTGTCCTGCCAGGGCGCAGCTCCTGTGCTGGCTCCGTGCTCCCAGGTGGGCTGGGGGGGCACAGGAGGGAGGTCTGTGGGTCCCACGGGGTGCTCTTGGGCATCTTTCCTCGGTGGGTCTCTGGAGGAGGATGGGGAGGGGATTGCCTGGTTGTCCCGTGTTAATGCAGCTCCGTGCTCCCCCCACAACACAGGAGCTCACAGGAACAGCACCGTGGCAGATCCTGCAAGAGGACAGACATCGTGCAAAGGCAGACAAACACCTCTAGGTGCTCCTCAGGCTCCCACCCTACCGCCACGCAGAGACAACATCCCTTTCTGCACCAGAAAAGGGCAGGCTGACAAGGCCAGTCCTGCAGAGGGTGCCGGGGTGATGCCCTGCAGATCCCCCAGGACCCAGCAGATCTCCCCACAGCTGTGCCACCAGGCACGAGGGGCCCAGCAACGGCTCGTGAAGCCTGACATTTCCCAGCTGGAATGTCCTGGGTTAAACAAACCGGGGTCCCCTGGGGTCTCCAAAGCTGTAGGCAGCAGCAAGCCCCAGCTTGGCATGAGGAGAATGCCGGGTGGCTTGCACCCTCCTAACCCCATGCAGGTGGCTGTGGCACGGGGCTATACGGCACCCCTGGCTCTCTGCCGTCAGCTGCCCTGGGGCAGCCCGGTGAAGATGCTTATTTCTGGGTAAGCAGAATACCTTCTAGCGAAGAGGTTGTGAATGGGAAGACAAAAACATTCCTAAGAGGAGGAAAGAAAACACTTTGGAAGCCTGGTCTCACAAAAAATGAAAGCAGCTGAGCAATAAACAAGGTTTGATGTGATATCAGCTGTGAAGGAGGAGCTCCCCAAACACAGCTGCATTAAGGAGGCGATCACACAGCACAGCGCACATCCCAGTGCTGCTGCCTGTGCCTCCAGCCACCGACCTGGGACCTCGGGGGGGTTGGGGCTGGCAGGGAGCTCCAGCTCAGATGTGCTCATCACAGGATATATTTTAAAAAGCTGCACGTTTCATCTTGAGAATTGGTTAAAAAAAAAAAAAAAAGGGTTCCGTTACTGCTCCAGGATGGACTTGTAGGGAGAAAGGTGCCTCAGTTTGCTGCTGGCGATGTCAGGATGAAAGCTGCTGCAGAACAACATGAAACTCAACGTTGTAACCTAAGCCAAGCCTCATGATTGCCTCGGAAGCTGACTTTACTTTTTGGGACCGTCCAGAGCTTGGCATTTAGGGAGCAGCCAGAGCAGCAGGCAGGCAGTTGTCTGCCTCTGCCCACCTCCAGCCTGGAGCTCCAGAGCCGGGTGCGGGTGGTGGGAAGGGATGGGGATGCCGGTCCCCAGGCTGTGACCGTGCTCCAGGATCTCGCAAAAAGTTTCCAAGACTACAAAGGGCCCGAGGCTGGAAGGTTTTCCCCATCCTGACACGCTGCTAATGCTGGGTCCCGGCCAGCACCCCCTGTGCAACAAGCCCCCTCCCGCCGGCAGCGCTGTGCCCCCAGCAGGTTCCCAATTAGCGCAGCGGGCTCCGCATTCAAGGCGCACACTGGCCTCTAGTGGCGCACAGCCGAACCCCGTGCGCTGTAACTCGGTGGGTGGCAGCACGAGTGGTATGGATGGCGTTGATACAGATATGTACGTGTATATCTCTGTATTTGTTCGTGTATTTATACACGGACACATCTATGACATGTATTCTCTGCGTGTCAGGCACAACTGCGGGGCACCCTGGCATGCAAGGATGTCAAAACTGGAAGCAATTTTGGCCTGAGCTTATAATGCTGAAACAAAACAAAACAAAACAAAACAAAAACACAAAACAAACAAACAAAAAGGCACCTTTTCCTGTGAAATTCAGGACAAATAGCACTCTGATGAGGTAGTATTTAAGGTTTTCAGAATAACAGTGGGAAGGGAAGGGAAGGGAAGGGAAGGGAAGGGAAGGGAAGGGAAGGGAAGGGAAGGGAAGGGAAGGGAAGGGAAGGGAAGGGAAGGGAAGGGGAAAGGGGGAAAAAGAAAGAAAAGGGTAGAAAAAATGAAAGAACAAAGAAAAGGGAAGGGGAAAGGGAATGAAGAAGAATGAAAGAAAAGAAAGGGTAGAAAAAATGAAAAGAACAAAGAAAAGGGAAGGGGAAAGGGAATGAAGAAGAATGCAAGAAGAAAAAAAGAAAAGGAGAAAGAAAAGGAGAAAGAAAAAGAAAAGGAAAAAGAAAAAGAAAAAGAAAAAGAAAAAGAAAAAGAAAAAGAAAAAGAAAAAGAAAAAGAAAAAGAAAAAGAAAAAAGCTCTGGTGGGAGGGCATATTCAGAGCCCTCTCCTCTCTCAGCACATCCTGGCTAGACAGGTCAAATTTCAATTTTCTAACACTTGGTTTTACTTCTTACTTTTTATCTCCCTATTAAACATTTTCAGACATTGGCCTGAATCTCCTAATATTTTTGCCGTGGAACTAAATTGGCAAAGACTCTTGGGTTCCCTTTCTGAGTTGGACTTTACAGCTCACGGCCACACAGAGACGGCGCCGTGCTAAGACCTCCAAGCCCATCCCTGTCAGTCTCACAGAGTCCAAAGCCAGAACTGACCTCGTATCCCTAAACCTCTTTCTTGCAGTGTTTTCCTGACATTAAGCTAGTTTCAGGTGACTCCTGCAGAGATGCTGAGGCTCCCTCGGTATTTGTTGAGCTCTTCTCCGGGGGAACACCCCCACCCCAGCCCCAACATCAGCTTGCAGCCAGGGCTGTGGCAGCACCGGAGGCAGATTTGGGCACAAGTGCTCACTTCCCACGAGCCTGGACAATGCAAGCTGAAACATGAGCAGAGGACACGATCTCCAGGCCAGATTTCCTCTGCATAACTTCTCCCCTTACCCGTGGTGTGAGGACAGCACAACCCGGGCACCTCCATAACCCAGGGCGGCGCTGCCTTCCTTGCTGTACCCGGCTGGTACCAGGCTGTGTTTGCTCTTTTCCTCCTGTTATTGTGCACACATCGAGATGTGCCCTGGCCACCTCCTCCCCAATGCCCTGAGGTGGTGTTTTCGGAGTCCTTTGCCTTGTCCCCTGCTTTGCAGGACTGTCAAAAGAGTGAAACCCCCTGGAGCTCTGCGCTAAGTGTGTGCAAGGGGTTTTTGGGCTGGCAGGATGGCGTCGGGGCTGAGCTCAAAGGCTTTGCCCAGCTCCTCTGGGGAGCTCACCAACACCAGGCCCACCTGGTGGGGGGCTGAGGCACAGGACACATCCAGCAAGAAGAAATGTGGTGAATGTGGAGCAGGCAGAGCGGCTCTGGCACTCTCCCAGACACTGCAGACTCCCCCCGTGGCAGGAACATCTCAGTGCTCTTCTGCTCCACAACGGGAGCTCAGGAGAGGTGATACAGGTCCAGCCTGAGAAATTAAAAGATATCTTTCAGACCACAGCACATTAGTCTGGATATCATCATGCCAAGTAATTAACCTTATTAATCAAAGATAATAAACTTCATATGGTCTACCTCTAATTGCTGCTGAGAGGTATCTACATGAACATTTTTCATATCTATGCATGCTTCGGGCTTCTTCTCATCACCTTCTGGGTACCAAGCCTTTAAACTACATCCAGATCTCTTTGTGCTTTGATCTGCAAACATCAGGACACAGAGGTGATGCAGAATAGAAAGTGAATCTTTGTGGTGCATGCCAGCTTGGATGCTTTAGGAACGAACCATTCTAGTTCCCAAAAATGCTGCAGTTCTGATGGACCGAAAATTTAAGGTTCTGTTACCACCAGAGAGTTTTGTGCAGAAACATTCACCAAGCTCTACCGCATTTTTTTCTTCAGCTGCAGATGGATTTTTGGTACACTTACAGCTTCAGGAGCTGCAGCTATAAGAAAAATCCTGGATATCATGAAGATCACTGGACAGTTCAGGAATTCCAAGGACCAGGTATATCAACAGGTACGATAGAGGGGCTGTTTGCTAGGGGTTCATGCTCAAAACTCCTGTCACATCACCATGGTCCATGGGCAAGCTGCAGTTCATCAGAAGGTGATCTGCCAAACCACTGAACCCCCTGAACACTAGAGACAGTGGAGAAACATTTGTGGGTCTCTACAATCTGGTGACTATTAAACTAGGCTTGAAATATTTGTAATTCTAGCAGCCAAAGGTGGCAAAACTTGAGCTTTGCTCACCTCAACGCAGAGGTTTCACCTTTATTGTCTCAGTCCCGACCTCCCCGCAAGGTGCACGGAGAGGCTGTGGGTTTTGCTTCAAGGGCTGGGTGTTCACTTCAAAAACGAGCTGAGCTGCAGCAGCCGTGCACCCCCTGACCCCAGGGACGTGAGGCTGGAGGGGACACCCAGCAGGGCTCCATCCTGCCATGGGGTTCAGTAACCACACGTCATTATGGGCAGAAACTCAGGGCAAAACGCTGGGCCCTGCGCTTGTCGGGACTTCGTGCCTCCAAGGCTTTGGGCAAGTTGGCTGGGAATTAGTCACTGGGTTTAAAAGCTCAGTGGGGGACTGACAGACAGATGGCAGAAAGACAAATAAGCAGCTGGCACCACTGCAGTGCTTTGTCACCTCAGAAAAGCAGAAAAAAAATGGGATGTGTGTTGGCCTGAGGCTTTTTAGAAGAGGCTTGGTGCAGCCAAAGTGGTGGTGGGGAGCTGGACCACGACCGCAGGGATCGGCAGCACTTGAGAGGATGGAAAGAGCTGGGACTGGAGAGCCAGACAGGTTGTGGAATATGAAAGGCTTGGAAAACCCAAAGAAATTGCTTGGGAAAAACCTACAGGAGGTGCAGGGCAGACCAAGGACTGGAGCACACGGACACAAAGAGATTTCCTCTGGCTTCTTCATCCTGCGGGATGCCGTCCTATGGGATGAGAAGCCAAAGTGAGACAGCCACAGAGAGGGAGGCTCACAGCAGAGGACCTGACCCCAGATTAAATCTGCCTCCACGAAGTAGATTTGACCAGCTAGCGAGCCACAGGCATTGTCACAAACACTCCTACTTAGCGGCCAAGAAAAAAGTGAGCAGCTGTCCTTGATTCAAGCCCTGCAAGGACAGGTTTGTTGTTGTGCTTTTGGTGTTTGTATTTTTTCCCCAGTGAAACAGGGCCAAAAATCCAAAAATGTTTTGACTCCCATGGAAACATTTTGATTTTCCCCAGAGAAACTCCCATGCGGTGCCTGGGCATTATTTGAAACCTGCCGGCGTGCCTTCGTAGTTTGAGCTCACACGTGCAGGTGCCGTCTCTAAACACAAGTGGGAAGGTTTTGCTTTGGAGACTTTGAACCATTTATTTTTTATTTTTTATTTTTGTCAACTACCAAGTGAAACATTTTGTTTAAAAAATGCCTAAACACAATATTTTGACATTTTCAAAATGTTCTCCTGTTCCCTTTAGCCAAAACATGCTGCTATATTCAAAGCAAATTTGCAGATCCCTTCAGCCCTCCCAAAACACACAGGTTTTGCTGAATTTCACAAAAACTGCCGCTGGGCAAGGGGCAGGGAGGAGCAGGAGAGCCAAGACGGGGCTTTAGGAAGCAGGGAGAGGGAGAAACGAGGGGGAGCAGAGGTTTTTGGGGTGCTAGGAGAGGGGTGGGAGAGGCTGGGAGGAACGGGCAAGGGCGAGGGGCTCCTGGTAGGGATGGAGGGAGCCTGGGAGCCGGGCAGCACCATGGATGCAGGGCACTGGGGAGCACAGGGGAGCAGAGGGGCTTGCCCAAAATGGGGCCAGACACAGAGGGGCTAAGACACAGCTTTGATGCCATCACCCGCGGGATGATGCGGGATGATCCCTGCAGCCACACAGGC